CCCTTCAGCAACGAGTCCTTCATCTCGGCCGACTGCGCCGACGCCGACTACCTGGGCATCCCGGCGGACGAGTGCGAGCGCTTCCGGGAGCTGCTGGAGCTCAAGTGCCAGGTGAAGAGCGCGGGCCCCTACGGCCTGTGCTACCCCAGCGGCCCCCTGGACGCCGGCAAGAGCGACCCCGAGAGCGTGGACAAGGAGCTGGAGCTGCTGAACGAGGAGCTGCGCAGCATCGAGCTGGAGTGCCTGAGCATCGTGCGCGCGCACAAGATGCAGCAGCTCAGGGAGCAGTACCGCGAGTCCTGGATGCTGCACAACAGCGGCTTCCGCAACTACAACACCAGCGTGGACGTGCGCCGGCACGAGCTCTCCGACATCACCGAGCTGCCCGAGAAGTCCGACAAGGACAGCTCGAGCGCCTACAACACCGGGGAGAGCTGCCGGAGCACCCCGCTCACCTTGGAGCTGTCCCCCGATAACTCCCTGAGGAGAGCGGCCGAGGGCGGCGGTCCTGGCGGCGAAGGCGCCACGGGGCCCGCGGAAGCTTACGCGCCGTCCCCACAGAATCTGCTCGCCATCACGGAAGATCCCGAAGTGGGCGCCCCGAACTACAGCCCTTCTAAAGAGCCGGACCCCGGCCCGGCCCCGGAGAGCAAGGAGCGGAGAGCCAGCGACGGCGGCGGCAGCCCCACGGCCAGCCCGAAGCCGGGCGGCTCCTACCTGGCGCCCTTCCCGCACTCGCCCTACAAGCACGCCCACATCCCGGCGCACGCGCAGCACTACCAGAGCTACATGCAGCTGATCCAGCAGAAGTCGGCCGTGGAGTACGCGCAGAGCCAGATGAGCCTGGTGAGCATGTGCAAGGACCTGACCTCGGCCAACCAGGCGGAGCCCCGAATGGAGTGGAAAGTGAAGATCCGGAGCGACGGGACGCGCTACATCACCAAGCGGCCGGTGCGGGACCGCCTGCTGCGGGAGCGCGCGCTCAAGATCCGCGAGGAGCGCAGCGGCATGACCACGGACGACGACGCGGTCAGCGAGCTGAAGCTGGGCCGGTACTGGAGCAAGGAGGAGAGGAAGCAGCACGTGGTGAAGGCCAAGGAGCAGAGGCGGAGGCGCGAGTTCATGATGCAGAGCCGGCTCGACTGCCTGAAGGAGCAGCAGGGGGCCGACGACAGGAAGGAGATGAACATCCTCGAACTCAGCCACAAAAAGATGATGAAGAAGAGGAATAAAAAGATCTTCGATAACTGGATGACCATCCAAGAACTCTTAACCCACGGCACGAAATCCCCCGACGGCACTAGAGTATACAATTCGTTCCTCTCGGTGACTACTGTATAATTTTCACTTGTGCGTTATGTACAGAAAAGAGACCACCACTACCATTGGGGTAGAAATTCCTGCCTCGTTCAATGCGGCAAGTTTTTGTATATAAGATAAATACCGTCACCATGTTTATAGTCGAAATTGGCGACCCTTACAACTCTGTATTTGGAGGTGGACGTTGGGGAGGTATTTTAAGTGGGAAAAAACCCACCCTTAAACTATCTTGGAAGGCAATATTAACACAGCTTTTTTTCCAGATAGCAATGGTACTTTTTTACTCGTTACCTTTTACATAAAGTGTTTTTAAGCATACTTTCACAGAATAATTTGTTTAAACTATATTCATATGAGAGAGTTACACACGCTTTTCTTTTCCTGCCAAAAACAGATACAACTGCCAGTATGCATTTTTAATGGAAGCCTATTTTATAATGTTACTTTGCTAAATGTGTTTCATACGAGTGACCAGTAATATATTATTTAGGTCAAAGTTTCAACTCAAAACCACCAAACTCAGTGGTTAACGACTTAATACACCTAACCAAGCCAGCAGTTTTTAGAACTGGGATACACATTTAAACATTTTTTTCTGGTTAAAGTTCCCCAGAGTGGAAAGGTTTTAAAAGAAAGCAAAATATCGTGCAGCTTTGTGGAAGTTTAAAGCATGTTTGCAGATACTGCAACCTGTTGGAAGAATTTGCATGTACAGGAAAGTTGTGGATGGAGACAGTTTGTGGAATTTTAAGTGCTCATTGTAGTAAACCTTTGCTTTGTAGATTTGAGGGGACAGACTTTTACAAGCAGATTCATGAAATCATGATTAGTTGCATACCTTAAGTAAAATGAAGTTAAAATAAATTATTATTTTCTATTTGATATGTTTTGAAGTGATTCCTCATTTTGCAGTGCCTATAAAATAAAAGCCTTTTGCAGTGTATTTTTTCCTTCATTGTATTACCTGTCACCTTAGAAGAATTTGAGTCTTTCACATCATCCAGTGCCTTCATTCTGCCAGGAACCCAAAGAGAGCTGTAAAACCAGTCTATTGGGGGGAAAAAAACTGAACTCACCGTTTAATCTTGGATTCTGACTCTGTCTTGCAGAAAGCCTCAACTTGGCCCAACATCCTATACACTAGAATAACTGTGAGCAAGTGTATCAACCAACATCATGTTTGCAATGAGACCTCTTTGGTTCATTGCAACCATTACTATTGGAATATCTAACATCTCTGAGTGGCTCGGCCCAACTTTCCATGTCTAAGATGCACCTCCAGACTCCACAGTATTTTCATAGAATAACAAGGATCACCAAAGTGGAAGAGCTTCAAAACTGGTACCTTTCAGACTCCAACAACCCACAGAATCCTACATAATGAATTTGCTGCAGATTGTTCCCTGATTACAGTGTTCACACAAATCTCAGCTTTAATATCTACTGAAACACCTCATACCCACATAAGTGAATGAATGATCAGGAAGGATATCATTTTCATTTCCCATGATCCTAGATGTCTGCTTTCTCACTGAAATTTTGATTGAAATGGCCAGGTGTTTCGGCACGTCAGACAGGCATTCCTCCCACTCAACCTATTCAAACCAAAATTCCTCCCTTGTGGCCCAAATCTTGAGCCTAACTAGCAGTCATGCTGCCAATGCAACAACTTAATGAAGACACTGGTATAGTTATTCCTCACTACTAATATTTCTGTTCATTACCTCTTCCAGACCAGGCATTGCAAAGATAATTAAACCCGCTACATTCATTTTTACAAAAGGTGGACTATTAGCGCCACGGTTTTCCAATTCTCTCCAAGGTCACCATCCAACAGAATTGCATCCCTGGCTCCCAGGAGCAGCTCCCCATCTCCAGCTCTCTCACCTCACAGCCCTTCTTGGGGCTGTGAGAACAAACACCAGTCACATGAAACAAAAATTGCTGCAAGACGTACACAGGTTCCATGTAAGTATGTGGGTTTCTTTGGCGACATAGCTCACCTACCTTGTGTTCTCATGAAAGGCCAGAGGGGTGCACGTGGCCACAAGAACAAACGGCCCAACCTAAACAGTCGAGGTGACATCAGAGTTAAGCTGAGAGGTTTCTAATCAGGGCTCCCCGGGCACCTGTGAATTTAGGGGTCAGCCTGTGCCATGTGTGAAAAAGTGGAGGGGAATTTAAACAGTAACATACGTTCAAATCCAATTCCAGATCCGTCAATTACAACTTAGTTTTTAGATCACTTTTCCATATGGATACACTTGGTCATAATGTGCAATGTAATACAAGATTTCCCAAATCAAATTTGGCAGATCAACTCCTAAAAGGTATTGCAAGAGACCTTGGAAATCATCCATTTGTCAATGAGCAGGAGACTCAAGGAGACAAATTTGTCTCATTAATAAACAAACTGGGATATGAATTTAGAACCTGCTCTCCACAGCTCTCATCACCACATCCACAGAGGAGAGAGGTCACTGTCGTGTGCACACTTAACTCAGGCGCACTCAATCCTGTGCCCTCAACTGAAACATAAACACATTTCACCAGTGGATGCCCTGGAGTGAACACAAGCTAGGAGACGTGAATTTGCCATTTTTCATTGAGCCTGAGCTCCCGAGTGCCTCTGAGTGCAGGCATTTTCCAGCCGGTGGCCGAGCTGGAGAATTTTCCTGGGCAATGGTGACAGGAGACAATTTATAACTTCTGTTCTCCCAGATGTGAAACCCCAGTTCCCCTGTAAACAGAACGACCCCTGTACCCAACAGGCCTTTCTGCTACCACAGCTGCTTGCACATTTTTAATTTTCTGGGTCCATTTAAGATTCTGATGGAAGCTATGGATTCTCTCCACAGGAAAACATGTATAATAAACAACACAAATACATAGCATATAATTTTGGAGACTCTGTGCCTCCCAAGTCCATTCATGGATCTCCCCTCAAGGTGCAAAGAAATACAAGCTTAGACCAGCTGAATTGAACAGTGCTCTTATTTTTCAAACTATTTTTCCAGTTGCATTGTCTAGCACTCTTTGATTTCAGTGATTATTTTAAATATCAAAGAATACATTTTCCCCATTAGAACCCTAATAAAGCCACTGAAATTCAACAAACCACTAACACTTACACTCTTCCAGTCATTATGCTAATGGTTGTTTCTCCCATAACTAAATAAATTTTGGAACTACGAGGACTGATTTCTGATTCTCCGTAACAGCCCCTCTGCTGGATGGATGACAGCACCGTATTCAAAAACATAAAGGAAAAGAAATGAGAATATACTGACCATCCAGGCTACACTGTCCAATACAGCAGCAACCAGCCACATCTGGCTGTTAAACAGTTTGTTAGTCTAAACTGAAGTGTTCTGAGAAAATAGATCTCAAAGACTTGGTACTTAAAAAAAAGGAAAGTGCATGTCTTGGATTAAGGAAAAGTTACAATAAATTTCACCTTTTTACTTTTTAATGTAGCTACTAGAAACATTTAAATCACACATGGGATGCACACTTTATTCCTACTGGGTAGCACGAATACAGAGACTGTCAGGCATGTATGTGTAAAACATTTGACCTCATGATCTCGCCAAATCTATGAGGCAGTTCTGCTGGGCAGATGGCCTCATAGACAGTTCAGATTCAGATTAAGGACCTCGTCCAGATGAGTGCAGAGATGTGACTTCAATTTGCATCAACTTGACACCAAGCCCTTTACCTCTCACCACTATGCCTGCACGCACTTCTGAAGAGGTAATG